AAACACAATAGCATAATATATAAAATATTAACAGAATGAGTAACTGAATCATACTTACCCGCTAATTCGATCATTTTCAGGAGCAGTATTCATGGCCTCAACTATGCAGTGTTTCTAGCACCGTCAAACGGGCCAGGACCGCCTTCGAGAATATCAAATATCACCTTGTAGAATTACAACAAAAATTATCGCCTTCAGAATGAAATGGAGGTATAGTGCTAGTTTAATTGTCACCTTCAGCCTTAGGCTTCGAAAATTCTCTCTTTTTTCTATGTATTATTGTATTATTCGACAAAAAGGCAAGTTGAAAACCTCAAGCAATTAGAAACAAAATAATCTCTTCGTCATCCAAGCAAATCAGAAAACTAGGGCTAATATACAATAAATCTTTAGTCTTTTATCATTGATAATTGCATTATACAGGAAACGAAATTAACAAAAAAGCATAACTTTTTATTAAATAAATAATAATAATAAATACAAAAAAAAAAAAAGAAAACCATACACAATTACAAGATTTTAAATTTTACCTAACAAAAACTGGGGCTGTGGCTGAAGGTCGGACCAGAGTTTCGGGACGCCGGCAGCTGTGGCTGTGGAGCTAAAACCGGCGGGAGCGGCGTCACGGCAGCGATTGGTAGGACAGATTAGGGTTGACAGTTTAAAAAGAGTCGAGAGATGAAAGTCAGAACGTGTTAAAAAAAAAAAAAATTGGTCACCAGTCTGGCTTGGCTCTGACTCAAACTCGTTAAGGTTCGAGTATGGTTCGAGATTATTTAAATTTTTTTTAGTTAACGAGTCGAGCCGACTTAACTCGATTCGATAAAAATCTAAAATAAAGTTTTTATACTCTCTTTTATTTTTATTATTTGTCATTATAGCTTAATTGATTATTTGTTAAATAAATGTCAGTTTTGACTATTTTGTACATATTTTTCCATTATTACTATCATCTAATTAATAAATACAGTACATCTTTTCATATTCACTCTTCATCTTTTTTCTAAAACATCAATTTCTATCTTCATTAATAAGGATTATTATTGGTAAAAAAATATTCTTAATTATTGTGCAACTTCTCAAAATGACATTTATTAAAAATAGGAGGGAGTATAATTTGTTAGAGTTCGACTAGTTAAATTTCCAGATGGGGAGTGACAATCGAGCTCAATTTCTAACTTGTAACGAACTGAACTCGTTAAGGGCTCGAGTTCGAACACTCTCGACCCACTCAACTATAACTTCCAATTTAACAAAAACATGCTGAGAGAGAATTCTACCAAGTATTCATATGCAATTTTTTGCAAGTAACTTGCAAGGGTCGGATCAAAACAGTGGATACTACAGGCGGGAGAGAGGGAGCGAATATGAAGACCCATTGCTGGGTTCGGGCTTCTGCTTCCGATTTCACCGGACATATTCCCAGTCCTCGAAGGTGAGTGAGTTCTCCTATATGTATTTTCTTAATGTTCTTTTCAAGATCTAAATATCGCTTTAAATTATAGTTTTCTTACTTTTCTCATTTCACTGCAGCGGGCATACAGCTGTGAACATCGGGAACTCAAAGATTGTGGTTTTTGGTGGTCTGGTGGACAAGAAGTTCCTCAATGACGTTTTTGTTTATGACATTGGTAAGTTTTCTTCATCGTAAATATGATTACATTGCTGTTTTTATTTTATTTTTTTCTTTTCTTGATTAGCATCATCGATCCAATTTGTGCAAGTTCAGTATCAGTAGTTGATATCCAATTATTTTTCAAGCATAAATCTTAAAGTGATCTATTTTGTTCTTGCTTTATTAGTTGAATTATGGTTGGTGAAAGTAATTAGGATAACTACTGTTTACCTAAAATGGTAATAGTGATTGAGTTTTTGACAAATGAAGTGTAGTTTACAATTCTTCATATAGGAGTCTATCACTGTGATTTTATCCTCAACCATCCATGTGGGGTTGACAATTGGTGTTTACTGATGGTGGATGAATACTCACATTTGAAAACAAGATGACTATTTTTTAGCTTATTCTTTTGTTTCGTGCATCTTAAAGTATTATGCTCGCATGCTAAAATAATATTGTGTAACAAACAAAATTCATAGCTATTAGCTCAAAATAGGATCTATTTCTCGTTGTAAGGTCTGTATTTTGAAATGTTGCAGACAACAATCTTTGGTTTCAGCCAGAATGCACTGGCGGTGGTTCTGATGACAAAGTGGGCCCAAGTCCTCGTGCTTTTCATGTTGCTGTTGCTATCAATTGTCACATGTTCATATTCGGTGGGAGGTCTGGTGGTAATAGGTATTGCTATAAGAGTAATTTTTTGTACTCTTTTCAATTTTCACGTAAATTAATTCAAAGTGCTTGCTTGGATTCATTTATTCATCATAAAGCTTGTGAATTACAGGTTAGGTGATTTCTGGGTGCTAGATACCGGTAAATTTCTGATTTCCACATTTGATTTATAAGTAATGATGGGAAATTTGAAGTTCTTAGTCGATCAGTTGCTCACAGATATATGGCAATGGTCTGAACTGACCAGTTTTGGGGACTTGCCTTCTTCAAGGGATTTTGCAGCTGCTTCAGCTGTTGGGAACAGTAAAATCTTGATGTAACGACCGTGATCGTTTTTCCTGCTTATTACATTGTATTTTTGTTCCAATTGCTTGACTCATTTCTCAATTTGACGCAGGTACGGAGGTTGGGATGGTAAAAAGTGGCTGTCAGATGTTTATGTCCTTGATACAAGTAACATTATGTTTTATATTGCTAGGATTTTTTTTTTTATGTATTAACCCCGAATATAAGTTTTGATAGATTATTTCTTCTTTAACAGTTTCACTTGAGTGGACAGAGTTGTCAGTTACGGGGACAATACCTCCACCAAGATGTGGCCATTCTGTTACAATGATTGAGAAGCGTTTGCTCATGTATGGTGGTAGAGGTAATTTTGTATTTTCAAACCGGGGCCTCAAGGATTTATGTTTTCGCTATAGGAATGCCACTATCCAATTTGCTCAATTCTGGGATTTCCTTGGTACACGGAATATTCTATCCAAAATTGTGTACCTCATTGGCTTTACTGTGATCGACCCAATGCCATAATATTGCTGGTAGTTTAGGCTCCACGTCGGTATAGCTGACCGTGAAATCACCTTTTTCTTAAATACCCTTTTACACTATGCCTGAACTTACTATATTTTGGGGTATGCCCTTCTTTTGATTTAAACTCCCAATTCTCCAGGTAGCTCCTTTAGTTTTGAGAACTACTTATGTACATCATGTGGCAGGAATTTATCTTTAACCTTGTGAAATAAAACTATAAGAGGTGCATAGAGAATTGATTTAGTGAACTTATGTTACTTTTTTCAATTCCTTGTATAACATTAAAAAATTGATCAATTGGTTAGATCGTTCTCATAGTCCCATCTTTTGCAAAACTTGTTAACAATTATCAAGTTTTATTTCTGCATATTTGAACTAGTATATCTAAAAATTGATACATAAATCTTGGTCATGTTTCAACCTTTTCAGGTGGTGGGGGGCCAATCATGGGTGATCTCTGGGCTTTAAAGGGACTTGTAAAAGAAGGTGCCTTGTTGTTTTACTTGTTTGTTTTTACCCACTCATGTCTTAGAACGGTTAAACAGTACGTTTTTTATTAGTATAGGTTAGGTTATATTTGTTATATGTCAAGGAACAAATAATGTTTTCACATATTCTTTTAAAGTGTGGGGCTTCTTCTTGATGAAGTACTTGAACGTGTTCCAGTTTTCACTACCTAATTGGATTTAATCTTATTTTTTCCTGCACATGATTGAGCTCATTGTCTTAATCCTTTTTGTTGTTACTTGAGTAACAATATTAATCTGTTTCTTGTTTGTCATTGAAGATCTAATAAATTCCATTTATTTTATAAAGCCATTAGAAAGGTGTATGTATAATAATGTCATTTTGTGCTTATTGTCTTCCCTTACTTTAATTGATCAGCTTTGTCCTTTGGGTAATGCTCATTTTCTTTTCACAAGAGTCGTGTAAAAGAATTTGTAGGCGCAAATATCTAGAGTTAATCAGAAATGCAAAAAATAAAGTTCACGGTCCGTGTTGTTGCTGGTGTTGTGACACCATGACCAACATTGAAATTGAAAAATAATATTCCAGTATACGCAGCAGAAGAAAGCACGAAAAAATAATATAAGACTACAAGTGATTAAGACAGTTTTCAGAATGGGAATAGAAAAAAAGAGATCACTAGGAAAATATCTATATGTTACAATTGGAATAACGAAAAATAAGAGAATAAGTGAAGTAATAAAAAAATCATATGCTTAGTAAATAAATACAGATCAGCTTCGGCTGACCCAAATGGTATGCTGTACGCGCCTCTACATCACTCAAACACAGTAATGTGCAAAAGTTTCATCAACACAGATTGAACCTTCAAGATTTGGTCTGAAAGTTGGGTAATGCATGAATCAACACAGAAATATGCAATGTGGTTCGTGCGTTACACAACTTCCGGACCAACACTTGAGGCTCAATTTGTGTTGTTTAACTTTTTCGTCAATTGATGTGTTCCTATGGTGATGAAATGTGTTTAACACACCTTTTTGGCTGGAGCGAGCCAAATCTGATCCGGATTTCATAGAAGTTTTTATTGTTTCACTAGTTCTTTTGGTTTTTGTTATTTCCATTATAGGAAAATATTTGTATATCTAGTTTTTTTTTTCTTTTCGCTTGTTGCCGTTCTTTACAAGTGACTTATCACTTGAAGGTTAGATTTAGTTTTTGTGTTTTTTTTACTCCACTGTGTTTTTCTGTGTTCATCTGGGTGTCATAACACCAGAACCAAGACGCTGCTGTAACTTATTTTCTGCATTTTTCATTAGTTTCTGATATTTGTGCCTACAAATGTTTCATTATGAAGTCAGTTTTCCTAATTTATTTTAACTTTTCTATTATCTGCCAGTAAAATTTTATGCCAAGGAACAAATAGTTACTTTTTCATTTTCCTTTGTTGCTACGATAATCTCTTTATTTTGACATAGCATTTTTGTGCTGCCACTTGTATACTAACAAATTTATCACTGTGCATTTTTTTGTGGAAGGTAGACAATGAAACACCAGGATGGACTCAGCTGAAGCTTCCAGGTCAGGCTCCTTCACCCCGTTGTGGACACACCATTGCTTCTGGAGGGCCCTACGTAATAATTTTTTTTCCTTCATGTGTGGTTATTGTATTTAACTTATGTGCATAGAATTTTAATTTATGGTCTTGCACTGTACTTCGAGGAGGCTACATTGGTTCTTCAACTTCCAGTAGCTAAGCTTGTTGAGTGCCACAATATCTCTTGTTTAATATTTCATTGGAGATTGATTTATTTGTAAGCCTGAACCTGTCTGCCACTTTCAAGTGTGAGGCATTTGAATAAACATACTTCTGCTTCAACTTGTTAATGTAAAATAGTTACGTAGAGTGTTAGTTCCAATAATTTTATCAAGCATGTCGTATATATGCAGCTTCATCATGAAGGATACGAACTACTTACTAGACTTTTAAAAAGAAATCACTTGCTTGTGTTATCTGAGTATTGAATGGCAGAAGCAAGTTTCAATTACCGTATCATTGTGTTTCATATATGTCATGCATGTTATAACACCATTATTTTCTCTTGCAGCTTTTGTTATTTGGAGGGCACGGAACTGGTGGTTGGTTGAGCCGTTATGACATATACTATAACGACTGTGTTGTTCTAGACAGAGGTGCATGTTCTAGTATTTTTTAGTTATTTTTCCTTCTGCTTGGTTATGTTGTTAGTTTCGAGTCCTAAGTCTCGTCTAAGTTACAAAGATGGTCTACGTATTATTGCACAAGCATTAGTTAAGAAAAGAGGAAATGACGATAGGATTCAATACAATGATGTTTGGTGATGTGTTGTGGATAGTGCAAAAGAAAGAGTAAAAAGGTTGGTGTGATTGTGCCTGTAATGCGGCATTTAATGATATGATCATTGAATCTTTTAGCTTAGAAACTCATGCTATTCGTTCAAAAAGTAGTTATACGGTTATAGATTATGTTTGCCTTATAGAACATAGTTCTCAACTGTCACGTAGTGGAGCTTGTTATGATATCTTAATTATGTTTAGTTAATACGAAATCTGCACGGAGCAACTTATGTGTTTAAAAGTTCTTTAGTAAACAGGGTCGAATCATTCATGATAGTTGTGGAACTAAGTGATTAAGATCCTCAACAGTAGGTTGCATGTTTCTGTAAACTGTTTCTGTAATTGCATGTAGTGTCTGTAAATTGGAAATGCGGACAATGAATTAATTTTCCTAGTGTATATGTGAATCAGTTTTGACGATTTACCTTTTT